GAAAAAAATATTTTTTTTACACAGCTGAACCATGTCTTGTCTGGCTTAGAGCATTCTTAGAGCAGGACATCAAAGCTGCTTTTAGTATCACATGATGTACAGTTTGGGGCTGACAGAAGACGAATGAAGGCTGCAGTAACACAACACAAGAGTAAAATGGAGAAGATAAGAACATGGTAGGAAAAATGCATCASTATTATTATAGAATAGGAAAAAACACAAAACCAAAACCACAGTAACRGTAAGTTAGAAAAGAATGAAAGGCAAAAGACTAAAGATTCATTCCATTATGCTAGAGAACAGCAGCCTGCTTTCAGAAAAGCATCAGAAAACTCAAAGCAAAGCTCCACTAACAACTCTCTTCTTAAAATAATCAATTCTCTGCATAGCCCATTAGAGCCTTCTCTTTCTCCTCCCATGCAGCCCACAGCTGACAAAATAAATGGGATAGGACTAGGATGGGAGATTTTTCTACTGCCTATTCTACCTTCCTAGCTAGCAACATAATAAAAACCATACAATTTTATGGGGTTTATTTTTGTTAAATGTCTATCTTTAAATCCAGTAAGAGTGAAATTTCAAGCACTTTAAGGATGATCTCAAATAGTAAGAAATGAGAAACCTGTAAAGGAGAGAGCTGAGGCTTACAAAGCTGAATAGGCAGGATGATGAAGAACAGAAAACTGTTAGGAGAGACACACTAAGTCTTGTGTAGTTAAGTCTTCTTGGAACTCTTGCTGAAAACATCCATGTAAGTATTAAGTGGGAAAAAACCTCACAGAATGTAAACTGAGTCCTTTACAGAATATAATATTACATTAACCTKTTACAATTACAATTTTTCTAATATAAAAATTGACCTGTATCGGTGGAACTGCTAAGACTACAATATATYAGTATTTCTTTTCATGCTAACCAGATGAAGTCCAAAGATATCCTGTTTTAAAGACCCGTCACAGCTCCCCATCAACCCAACTCTGTGTTCATATTGATGCCAGCTGGTTATATGTCCTCAGATAAATTCAGCAGTGCTATTGAGAAGTTTTCCATTAATTACATACATCATATTTGTGTATGTGTAACCTCACATAATACTATACTTGTATAAAAACATTTGTATCCTGGAATGCTTGTGAACTTAAAAAGAARGTTAGAAAGAAAATGCAGTTCACAGTACCCAAAACGACAAAAAATATTTTCAGGAGTTTAAGCAGTAATTTAAATACTTCCATAAACATTTTTTAAAGCTAAGCTTATTCATTCTTTTGTCACAAAACTTTATTTCAAGTCAGAAGACACCTGGTATTAAGAAGAAATAAATTTCTTCGGAGAATCATTTGCAACGAAGGGTATCTTCTTTCTTCCTCATATAACAAACTGAGGAAGCATGTTTAGATTTTTCTTGAAGTAAGGAAAATATCATCTCTTTACTAAATGATTCAATAAAACAGAAAGCAATATTCACAATACTATCCAAAGTAATTTTTAGAGTTCAACAACACTCAGTTTCACCACCATGACAGTAAGTACAAGAACTGTTAACAAAAATAAAGGGAGAACTTTAAAAGCAAGCTTCCATATCACATGCAGGCACAATCCACATGCCCATGACAGGGTGAACSTTTTATGCCTCTCTCAAATATTTTCTGTCATTCTGTATTTTCTAAGTAAATTGTACAGTCATAGGTAGCATCTGACATTTTCACCTGAAATCTCAGCTTAAAAAAACAATGATTACATCTTTGTTCCTCTCAAAACAAACCTTCCTATTCAGGCAACAGGGGAGAGAGAAAAATCGGTGTGTGTATCTCCATATTCACTTGCCATTCCTAGATTCCTGGTCTCCATGACAAGAGATAATTTCCTCTTAACCACTTTTAGGGATATATTCTCTTTGCCTTCTTCAAGGGAAGGTGAGACTTTGCAAAGACGTAACTGACTCAGCCAAACTAAAGGAAGCCGACATTGTTTCCACCAGCACCACGTTGAGCACTAGCAGGAAGTACAAAGAGATTTTCCCACCCCAGGCTAACAAATAGCTCCTTCTAATARCTTCTTCTCCCAAAACAAATGCTTTATAGAAGAACCATCCTATTGCCTGCTATAGACAGATCTTAATTTGAGCAAATAAGGTTTTGCTAAAGGAGCAAAAAATGCAAGAAATTTTAAATTAAGACTAAAGCTTTTTGTAGTACTTAYTCTAACCAGTGCAGTTCATGAGCTTTAATTAATGTAATCCAACTTGGTTTTTAAATAAATTTTTACACTAYACAGTACAACTACACAGGTATCCTATTCAGAGCAGGCTCCACAGCATTATTAGTAAAAGAACAGGCAAAGAAATGGCTAATCCTTGCTGTCCCCATTCACTTGATTTTTATTACTATATATAATTATTTTAATAAATCTAATCTTTTGTGAAGTATAGAAAAGGGAAATAAATAAAATCATTTAGAGAAAAGCATGAGGACGCTTCCTGCTCTTTCCTGTCATAAATGGATTATGGTTTCCCCACAGTTCAGTAAGCCACAGAACACAACTCAAAATCACTAGGAAAGGAAAAGAACTTCAATTCCTCATGTTTCCCAGTATCAAAAGCAAGGAAGCTGCTGACAGCAAGGTGTGGACACTGTTTRGCTCCCTGAAAGCTGACCCACTCTTCCCACTGTTTCAGCAACTAATGCAAGTCACAGCAAGTGACAACCTCCCATGTAAYGGGTTTTACACTGTTGTCTTTCGGTGTTTTTTTTCCCCTCCCATCTGTACACATGTTCCCATATCATGCATATCATGTTTCTACCTTTAATGCAGAAGAAAGAAGGGGAACCAGAGAGTAAAAGAACAGAAAATATTCTCTGATTGCCATCAGATATGCTACATTTTAGCAYTGGGATTTGCCATTCCAAACCTTAAGAAAAGCTGTCTTGAGTTAGGAGTCAGTAGTTGRGTGTTTGATATAAACAGTCAGCACTTTTCACACTGCTTTGTTCTCTCCCACCTTCTCATGGCACATCTAGCAGTACTTTAGGTAGTGCTTTAATCAGGAACTAGATTTTATTCAAGGATCTAGACTGCACATAAAAATTATTGCATAGCATATGCACTGAAAGACAAGTTCTTAGAGTGGATGCTAAAGGAYGTAGATCTTTAACAGTGGTGACCTAGCAAAATTTAAAAGTTTAACAGAGAAGGTAATATCTGGACAGCAGAATCGTTGTTCTCCGGAGACTCCAGCTCTGTATCTGTTTTTAGGGTACCCACTGTCAGAAGAGTGCTACCTTAACTGCGAATGAAGAAAGCATCTATCAGAACACTGAGCCTGCACTCCACAATTATTTCATATGGGACTATACATCAAGAAATAGCTCGTGAAGGTACAAGACCAGATAATCATTTTCATTAGACAGGCAGTTCTAAAGCAGATTTTCTCTGAAGGCTTTTAACCTTGAAAATCACAATAGAAAGGCACTTAAAAGTATAATATACTACAGTGCTTGACATCATTTAATGAAACCATGCAACGCATTTAGTGACCTTGACTATATTAGAATACCGCATTAACTATATGGAAAGAGAGCTTTTGGATATTCTGAAAGAACAACATTGTCCCTTTTATCAGATTTCGTTACAGAGGTCTAAAACTGACCTGAGAGGCTCGTGAAAACAACAGCTACTCTCTCCTGTTCTTCAGCTCTGCTCTGGGCTTGAAAAACACTAGCAGTTCATTTTTGCTTAGACTCTGATGAAGAACAATCCACAGGCAGATTTAACAAAATCTCCCACTTCTTCTGTATGTGTCATGTAGGAAAACTTTCCTTTAAAGAATTAATCTGAATCATATTTCTMATTTTCTCTTCCTACAGAGACCACAGTCTTACAGGGAAAGATTGTAAAACTTGGCATCGTTTAGCCCGCAGAAGAGAAGACTCCAGAGGGACTTTAGACTAGCCTTTCAGGAAGAGGGGTTTGTAAGAAGGATGGGACAAACTTTTTASTAGAGCCTGTAATGATAGGAAAAGGGTTAATGTTTTAAACAGGAGGGCAGAGTCACACTAGATATAAGGAACAGATTTTATTCAATGAGGATGGTGAAATGCTGAAACAGGTTTTCCAGAGATGTGATAGATGCCCCCTCTCTGGAAACATTCAAGGTCAGGTTGGATGTGGCTCTGACTGATGTAGTTGAAGATGTCCGTTCTCATGGCAAGGCGTTTGACTAGGTGGCCTTTAGAGGTCCCTTCTTCTGATTCTATGACCYCCTCCAAAGACTTCCTAGCTCAACATTTTCCCCATCTTAAAACATTTTGTCTTTCTGTTAYTAACATGCATGTTAACCAAAAATAGACAGTTTAAAAGTTGAATGATTTTATTCAGGGCACAGAGGGGGTAAGACAAGAAATAAACACAAAGCTCTGAAACACTATACAGGAACAACATTTACTGTTACTCTACATAAATGCCAATCAGATTTTTTTTTCTACTGCATCTTATTCAGGAATCTCTGGCTTCCAAAAAATCTGTACTCAAAAGCTCAAACAGAATATATAAAGTTTTAATATTTTCAGACAAAAGTCCTTTAAGAAAATATTGAAACTAACTCTCTCAGTGAAGACATGAAATCTGATCAAGACACCTGTAATTTGAGTGCAGGATGAATGCAGCATCGAAGTTACCTCCCCTTTTTAAGCAGTATAATTCAGGGTAACGATGTATATATGCCAGCTGATACCACAGAGTAAGAGGTGCCCCATAAATCATAAAATAGTTACTATTTCTGTACCACTCTAAAGATATCCAAGCTTCCAAACTTAATTTTTAAGSCTCAGGCACTCATACAAACCTCCTGCTACCTTATTAAGCTCCACACAAGTCAATACACAAGCATACAATTATTCATTRCCTTTATCCATTGTCTTCCTTTAAAATAATAAAAACAATGATAGAGGCCCCAAAATAAACAAAGTGTCCACTAGTTTATAGAGAAAAACAAACAAACTTACACATTTACTCCACTGCAGGCAGGCGTCTTCATTTGAGGTTAAATACTTGTTACTCAATCTTAATGAGATGATTGTATCTAAGGAAAAAAAAAGTAATTACTTTTAATTTTTTTTAAAACACATTAACTGTCACAGTGGCAACTCAGGGGATGTTACAAATTTCTCTTCAGGTGACAGCTCCAGAAGCTGCACTTGGATGACTATCTCTCACCTTTTTTCAAATCCCTAGATCTCACAATTATAAAGTAAAATCAGACATTCTCACTTCTAGAGCTCCAAAGCAAAATGGAAATAAAGAAAGAAACTTAAAAAAAAAAATCAGTATATGCCCCTCAGATGATTGCTAAAATAAAATCTAAAAGTCAAATTTTTAAAGTTATTTTAGCACTGCTCCGTTTTTTATGCTTATGTTGAATGAAACAGTCTACATTACATGCAAGATTTTAAAGGAGTTTGCTGACATCTTTCCATGCACTACAGGATTCACTTTGTTACACCTTCTCTTCATGAGCTAAACATATTGCTTACACACTGCACCAACAACGTGTATTAATCAACATGCAATAGCATAGGATCAACACAAGATTAGCATTCCCCGTGTATGAGAAAGGAGCGATTGCAAGTGGAATATATTAGATCACATATTTTGACTTAGCAACAAAACAGACCAAAACAGTCTATCACAGGACACATTTTTTGAGTTTTGCAACTTCAGTCCCACTGGCCATTATACTGACATCAGTGCCACTGTGCAGAGGCCCCTGCTGTTACACTGCCCCATGATTGACAAAATCCCAACCCAACAAAGAAAACATTTTGCCACCTTGGAAAATCCATTGTCTGCAAAACAATCTCTCTTATATCGCAGTGATTACTCTTCTTAATCAGACTGAGATGTCTAACTATATATTTATGTATATAACCACAGTTAGGGGTTTTTTCCTTAGGAAAGAGATCACCTCTCAGAGGGCATCTCTTCATAATGCACTGGCTTACTGTGCGTTATGAAGAGAACTATGTATCACTGCTTTTACTGACATTTTTTACTTAAAAACAGTCCTATAGTTCCTCTTAAGCAATTAAAAACATCTCCAGAGCTGTGCTGCTGGCTAATTGGACTGTTGAGATACTTCAGCTATCCCTATTACAGCAACATTTAAATAATGTATACAGAGAAGAAGGTGTCAGCCAAGGAGACAGAGACCCACCCGACGCAGGGTGCCCAGTGGAGCTGTTAGGGAACTCTCCTCAGACRTGGATAAAGCTCCTGAGGCAAAGCAGGGAAATGAACCTGGCTCTCCCACATTCCTTCCAAGTGCCACAGCCATCAGACTACAGGCAAGATAAAGTACAAATATGCATCTTTGTGCTCCCTGACGTCTTTAAAAAACAACACCAAAATCTCCCAACCCTTCCATTCCCATTTTACCCCTCTGTGACTGGTTAAAGATGACTATAGTTTCAAGTCAAACCAAACAGTTCATTTAACTCAAATAAATGTTTGGGTTTTCTTGACTGTTTATTTTTGTGAGAAGAATAACAAAAAAAAGGTAATTTTAGTGGGATCTCAGCTTATTTTCTTTAGAGGCAAACACTGATTCAGAAAACAGAATACGAAATTACAGCAACAGGTAAGCAGAATAATTATTGAAAAGCTTTTAAAATGAACCTGTTTGGGGTAAAATAGGCACAAATTCTTTGATCATTGTCACATGAGAGAAATGTATCATTAAATATATTTTCCCATATATTTTGCAAATAATTGCAAAAAATATTAAAATATTGCTGAAATAGTTTAGCTGATCAATAAAGCCTATTTTCAGCCATGATTTTCAAGCTAATGAGTACTGAACCCCAGAATTGGCTTTTATATTCAATATACAGAAAATCTGAACAGTCACTGCAAAAATGACTCTAACACATTAAAGAAAAAATATCTCTGTATGCCACTAGTGAATGCAAACTAGAAGACGTGACCTAAAAAAAATCCAACAACCTTTCACACAGTTGTAACAATGAACCAGTAACCTTCTAAACCTTCAGAGAGGGATCATCCAATCCTACATGTTGTCAAACAGCAAATGAGGAAGGGAAAGAGGTAAGAGATGGAAAACATGCAACTGCGCAGTAATTGCTAAAGAGAGCACACAGGTTGTGAGTTTACACAAAGATCATAGTAATACAGTAATATTTCTTATGTCAACATCCACTGAAAATCAGTCTTAGATTACAGAAAAGACTCATACTTCAGTTTCCAAAATGTTCAATATTAAAAAAATCACTACCTATTCTGAATCATCACACCTGAATGAATATAAGGGCCTTAAAAMTCAAGGTATTTCCCCGTTGTTGCTTTAACAGCCCATCATATTGAGCTCTATCTCATCACCAAAAAAAACCTCAATACCAAACTACAGCCCCAAAACCAAACCAATACTATGATGGTTGAACTATGTATTCCATTAATTTAGGACAGAAGTTCCTTCACCTCAGTGAAAAAAAATGTACCAAAAATAATGATAAAAGCTTCAATTTTTCTTACTTTTTGACCTGAGAGCTTTAAATTTCACTTGAAAGCTACCTTTAGGCCACAGAAACTACTCATTTTTTTCACTGAGTGAAATTGAACAATTCCATAGCTGTAAAYTGATCAATACTGAGAATGCCAGTAATAAATGCAAAATAAACAGCCAAAGATATGCTGAAAATGAGGCACATCTGCCACATTAGAAAACTTTCTTTGTGAAGTCTGTTTTGAAAGTGTTCACCACAAMAGGTAACATTATGTAAATTACATTAATTTATGTTGATACTACTAAAATACAAAGACTATCCCAATTTCAGGAAAAAATGTCAGTCATGATGATGAGTTAAACACTCTGCTCTATATGGTACAAAATTCCCCACTAAACAGTAACGTTCTCTTCTACATAAAACTAAGTCAATATACACATATAGCTATGCTATTTGCCTAAGACTGATTATTTTAACTGTTACAGTGGCAACCCCACAGCAAAATAGGCTCACTTTGAAGATAAAAACTACTAAAAATTAAAAGCGAGCTGTAAAAAACAGGATTTACAAACCCCCTGTATATATTCTTCCCTGTGAATGGCGGTAAAAGGCAGCAGGCTGTTGGGAAATACATCATGCACATTCTTTAATTCAAACTTTCTCAGAGAAAAAAAAAATCTCTCAGAAGTTAATGTATTTAGGACTCTAAAAACTCAAAGAGAACAAATTACAAGAAAAAAGGGAGAAGAAAAYAGAAAGACCCAACAAGCTCAAAAACCACCTCCTTCTGTAAGACCTAGTTTTTACAAGTATTTAATAGGATATTCTACTTTAGTGGATGAATAATTTTAAATAAATGTGTAAAATTCTGTTGGCCTCTGGTACTTTACAAAGCCCTGTTGTAARTCTTAGTGATGTGTTATATTAATTGAAGAAGATCCCCTCTGCACTGACCACTTGTGACATTGACTGTTCTGTTAACATGATTCTTGCTCTGGACATTTATTGTCTTGCTTTAAAATGAACCATAGTTGGTGGAAACACCAGAGAGAGAGGCTGTAGGAGACTAAGCTCATCAGTTGTCTAGCCTTTTGCTCTTCTATACCTTGCCTCTCACATTATCAATGAGGATGCTGTACCTGCCACAATTTTGCCTTACACAGATGCCATGAATGAGTGATCTGGCTGCTTAAAAAATACAGTCAAAAGTACTGGCAAAAGCAGGGTTTAATATAGATATGCGAAAATGCAACTTTACAGAGTTCAGTGGCAAGGTTCACCCTATTGCTTACTACACAGACTAAAGCAAGATCAAATAAGCAGCAATTTGCAACGATTTACACAAAAGCTGAGAATGCAAAAGCAGTAAGAGTGCAAAGGATATGGATGGAAAGGATGTAAAAGGGTTAGCAGCACTTAATACTTGAGTTCACTAACATTTACAAAGGGTTTTGACAGTTTTCACAACAATTATAACAATGACAACTATGGATTTGAAATAGTAACATTTGTACCAYAATTGATTCACACACACACAGGTAAAATGAYGTGTACACCTAYTGCTGTGTGCRTAAAGATAGCTGTGAAAAATTCCCCCAAATACACTAAAATTCATCAAATCCCTTTGCACTTCCCGACAGGCAATGGTTGTAYTGTGAGGAACATGGAGATAGGGGGTGAGGAGCTGAGTACCACAAACTTGAAGGTTTGTGAGCTCTGGAAGGTGGCAGCACTGCCTGCTGCGGTTCAGGAGAGCTCAAACAGGCTCACTTAGACTGCTATTTACAGGGTCAGAAGATGATTGACTTTGGTCATCAATAACTTTCCATCTTGGCCATAAATCAAGTCAGTAACTACTAAGCTTTTCTCCCCAAAGTGCAGTAACAATGGTTACTTGGTTCCACTTGGGCTACATTCACGTAAATGGTTTACCAAGGCTATGAAAGGTAATTGCTTGTCCTTTGTTTCCCACCTTTACCAAGCTAGAGCTGCTGGTAGATYGGGGAGTGCCTCACGGCCCAGCTGGTACAGTCAGCTGGTACAGTTCACCACTCAGCTGGTTTGGTCAAGACTTACCAAGAGCTTCCAAGAATGCAGAACAGTCACAAGGACGGGAAGCATTACACCACCAGAAGTAAAAGAGTTATTGTTAGGCAAAAGTCCAAATACCTAGAAAACTTTTCTCCAAGATGCTTAGATTAGGTATTCCATTTTATTTATTTTCAATCAATTCTTACATTTGACTGCTGTGGAGGACTCCTATGGAATAAATTCCTCAACAATCTGTTGAAGTAGCAACATAAAGTACCGAAGCAGATATACATCCATCAAGTACAAAGACTGTCAACCACCCTTGCTGGTTTTATACCTAGTGGACAGCACTCAAATTTCTAATAGTCCACAAAAGAATTTATGTTGCTTTCAAGAGAATTTCTTCCTCTGCAAAACCAATCTCCACCGTGAATAATAACTAGAATGCTCCTGCCCAATACTTGTACAAACACAGGCTTCCCAGTAGCAGCATAGTATCTTGGAGATAGTTGATAAAGTCTTCCAGACTTCACTCCCCCAGTATGTATTCGACGAATGTCCTCCCAAGGATGCACGTCTGCACTTAAAGCGAAACAGTGCATTACTGAAGATAACCTTTAGAAGAAAAGCACTGTGCTCATGCTCTTGAAAAGCAAAACAGATACACATGTATAATGGGCCATAAAGACAACAACATGTAAGGAAAATCTGGAAGGTACATGAATGTTGTGGGGGCTTGAAAGGCTTTCTCTGCTAGTATTTTAAATGTAGCATGACAGCTCATGTTAAATTGTTGAAATCTCTCAAAGGAAACCCCACTCCCCCCCCCCAAACGACACAGGACTGCTTCTAACACATAAGCACTAGGGAGAAAGGCCTCTACACTGCAAAGCYAAACCCTACTACTTAGCAATGACAAATAGAATCACTATTAACGTAAAAGATGCTTTAACCTTTCCTTACAGCAGTAAATGTTTTTACACTTGCAATAGTTTGTACATGCAGCAGACAACTTTAAGCATACCCGACACCTTCAGAAATCCAGTAAGCATTTTAACACAAACACTCTAACATCAGAAGCTGTCTAAGTGTACATMTGGAAGCTACAGAAGAGGTTTTTAAGCAAAATTACCACGCCCCAAGAAGAAAACGAGAGGCGCACTACATGAAAGCTAAATTCTGCACTTTTCCGAGACACCATTCTAGAGCGACTCTGCCTAGGAGGGACGGCTGGAACTTCACCGCACACACAGATGCGGACGCGGTGCTTACGCCGCGGCCAAAGCCGCTGGTAGGCGCCTGCCCACCTCGTGTGCTGTTTCTTGGGGAAAACACTCTTTAGGATTTCCTAGGCTTTCCGGTCCCGGCACTCTACCCGGGAGCCTGCACCCCGGGCGGCTCCCGGTCTCCGCGCAGCGCTGGCCCGCACCCTGAGGGGGATGGCGGGCTCTCCGCCCCGGGGCTGCCTGGGCCATCTTGGGTCGGGATGGCAGCGGCCACATGGCCACCGCTCCCTCCGCAGGCCCGGCTCCTGCGGCCCCGCCAGGTGCGCGGGCGCTCAGCCCCAGCGGGTCCCTTGGGCCCGGCCCGGCCCGCACCGCGCACAATACCGGGGCAGCTCGAGGCGCGGCCGCGCCGGGGCGGGCACCCCTCGCCGGACGGTGGGGCCCGCCGGGTGGCCCGGGACAGCACCAAACCCCTAGGCACTGCCGACCTCCGTTCACCGGGCCGTCCGGGCACCCCGCGGGGCCCCGCAGACAATAGAGCCGGCCCCGCGGGCCTGGTTCCCGGCTTCCTGCACCGCCCCGCCGCCACACGCCCCCTCCCTGGCCTAGCGGCGCTGTCCCATGGGCGCTCCCAGGAGGGACAGGGCGCCGCCAGGCCCGGGACGCGGGTCCCCGGCCGCTCAAGGCACCGAGGCCGCTGAGGCCGAACCCGGCGGTGGCGGGCACCGGAGCGGGAAGAAGGTGCGGGACCGGGATAGCAGCGAGCCAGACCGCCCTGCCCAGCGCCCTCCCGGTGCCGGAACGGTGTTACTCACCTCCCCGGGCGGCCGCCGCGGGGGAAGCCGGAGGTCGCCGCTGCCGCCGCCCGGCCGGGCCCGAAGGA